GGCTTTCTCCCCACCCAATGCTTGTTGTAATTCCGGCCCTATCATTAGGCAGAATGAGGTAGTTGAGGCTGGGTGGTGTGCCGAATTCCTTTGTTCTTTATATAGGGATGGAACATATACAGTAGGCTGAAATCCAATAGTAAGTCACAACCAGAGTAGGCTCATTGGATCGGTGTAATTTACAGAGGAATGGACTCACCCCACTGATTCAATGGGCCTAATCCAGTTGCAATTTACTACTGCATTTCAGCCATAGCAATGGCCTCTCACTTAGAATAGCTCTTGGGAAATTTTTGGGCAAAGACCTGCTGGCTACCATGAATAATGCTGGCGTTGGAATCCATGTTAATAGAAGTTCCATATACAGGGCAGTACATAAGTCCACTGAAATGTTGGTTATGTTCTTCTTCACAGACTGCTTCTGAATGCCAAAGGAATGCTTTTGGATAACTAATTCCCTCTGGGAGGGCAACTTTTGTATAAAAATGTCCCTGAGTGAGTACCTGCTCCTTATAAGTAACTTAAAATGAACTGTATGAAGTGCTTTTGAGCAACAAGAAACTGTTTTGACAAACTGAAATGGCTAGGCAAGGCCTTGAAAATACAATGGCAAGGACAGTAGTTATTTTTTTAAACCCCTTTTCATGATCTACCTATTGTGTAGTATAGTCTTCAGGTATGTGGGGAACATAGTTTTCAGGGAGAGTAACCCGGTGTAAAATTGTGTTATTAGAGAGGGATGTGTCAGTACCTTTGTGGCTAGAGTCTTTGTTGAACAGAGGAGACCTTGGGCCAGTTTTCACCTGGCAACCTATTTTACATCAGCCAAGTGTCTTGTGGCACCTCTAGTTTCAGTTTATATTTTAGTGGCACCTTAATGGCTAAAAACTTTTATTATGGCCCAGGCTTTTGTCTACTATAACATATTTCCACTTCAATTCACAGACAACCATTGACCTCCCCACCCACTCACTCAAGAATATATACACTAATCAGTAAGATCAGTAAGGTAATTATAATTGTTTATGCATTTTCATCAATTCACAGACAACCATTGACTTCCCCAGCCACTCACTCAAGGATATATACACTAATCAGTAAGATCAGAGTATTTTGAAATGGAAAATGCATAAACAATTATAATTACCTTAATAGTGGCGATTTCCAAACCAGTAGTTGGGTTCAAGGACAGAAGCCCTTGCAATGAATGAACTGATTGACACATGAAACAGGGAAACAAGATCTTTTAACCCTATTCTAGGGGTAGGAAATATGTGCTGGCTGAGCTTCTTTATGTATCTTTGTTCAGCTGTTTCATGCTGGAATCTGTCCTTGAAATTATTCTGCACACAGGAAGTCAGAGTTGAGAGCAAATCCACGCAACATCAGTTCCTCCATTTAAATAAGTGTTCCTTCATCACCCAATGTTGTGATAGAAATAGACTGGAATTGCAGTATCTGTCCAAATGCATATCTGCCAGATTCCAAATTTCCTCTGGAATTTCCTTCCTAAATTTAGTAAAATTAGCTGTTTGTCTGGAAGTAGCCTCTAACTGGCAGCACATAGCTATTTTATGGTCACAACCCCAAATTCCATGGTTACACCCCTTTATTCATTTATTATTTTATTTATACAATAATTCAAACGTTGACATACTCCTCATAGGTGAGTGGGGGGGATGTGTTGCTTACAAATTATCTCTGTTGCTCAGCAGTCCAATATTGCAACCTTGACAGTGGACACAAGTCCACTGTTAATTTCCTCCATTGTCCTCCCCAAAAATGATAATTCCTTTGCTTAATAGCTGAGCAGGCAGGAACTGCACAGAGGCCGGAAACTTACCAGACACAAGGACTCCTTTGTCTTGATGCTGCAAAAGAACAAAGCAAAAACCTGATGCTCAACTGCGTGGACAAATTATTCACACTACATGTAATTTAATGAAATTGTTTCACAAACTATATAGATAGCCATTAACTGAGATCTGGGGGGTGGAGGGGGAGGAAGTGGAGTGTTTTGGGCAAAACCACAGAGGAAAAAGCTCTCAATGGCTACTATGCACAATGGTCCTGTGGAATCTCCAGCACTCACTATAACATTCTTCAGTCAAAATCCTATTGTGTAATGTAAGCAAAGTCTTAAATTTCTGTGCAGTCCTCATGAGTAAATAGTAACCATGCACATTGGTTTGGTTCATGTATACATATCCCTGGGAATTGTGGCAGGGGCTCTTCATGTACCCACAAGGAAAGTACCAGAAATTACTGTAACGGAACCCAAAGTATGACATTATACCCACAAGGAAAGTACCAGAAATTACTATTAAGCATATGTCAAACAACAGGATTTTGGCTTATGAATACCACTCAAAGATTGGGCAACTAGAAAGGAAGAAAGCTATTATCATCCCATTCTGTTTCTGGACATTTGGTGGAACACTGTGGGAAATGGGATGAGCAGGCCTCCTGCATTACAGTCTTTAAAATTTTACATCCAGAGATAATTCCTGCAGCAAGAGCAATGGAAGGGAGGAACAGGGACCCCATCTTTCCCAGAATGACTGTTCTGTCCCCTCTTACAGCACCTTATCCCCAAGTCCATCCTTCCTCCATCTTGTCTGTTCTTGGCCATACCAAAACATGGTAGATATCTTGAACTTTGGGTTTATTGGAAACGGGACTGGTTCTACTACATTGAGAATGAGAAGGGCTTTTGTTTTGCCATGACAGAGGTCTAGAAGCCTCTTCAGATACAATGGAAGTTGGGAATGCTCCAAACAGAATGCAAAAGACTGAATTTATATGCCATGATAACCATATTGAGGCAGCTAATCTTTGTAGTGGTTTCTAATCAGCACAGAGCTTTAATTCCCTTCATGCAAAATATACAGTATAGGGCACAAAGAGGGATCGCCACAATTACTAATAAGCATATGTCAAACAACAGGATTTTGGCTTATGAATACCAGTCAAGGACTGGGCAACTAGAAAGGAAGAAAGCTATCATCCCATCCTGTTTCTGGACATTTGGTGGACCACTGTGGGAAATGGAATGAGCAGGCCTCCTGCATTACAGTCTTTAAAATTTTACATCCAGAGATAATTCCTGCAGCAAGAGCAATGGAAGGGAGGAACAGGGACCCCATCTTTCCCAGAATGACTGTTCTGTCCCCTCTTACAGCACCTTATCCCCAAATCCATCCTTCCTCCATCTTGTCTGTTCTTGGCCATACCAAAACATGGTAGATATCTTGAACTTTGGGTTTATTGGAAACGGGACTGGTTCTACTACATTGAGAATGAGAAGGGGTTTTGTTTTGCCATGACAGAGGTCTAGAAGCCTCTTCAGATACAATGGAAGTTGGGAATGCTCCAAACAGAATGCAAAAGACTGAATTTATATGCCATGATAACCATATTGAGGCAGCTAATCTTTGTAGTGGTTTCTAATCAGCACAGAGCTTTAATTCCCTTCATGCAAAACTAGGTCTTTATGGGTGTGACTAGATAGGCATCTTTCCTACAGTTTGATCCTAGTTGGGAATGGGCTAGTTCACGTCTTTTTCCAATGACTATATGATATATATGCCATTGTGAACCAGATCAATAACCATCCACAACTTTTGGGGTTTCTGTCGGGGGTTCCTGGTTTGTTTGTTTTTTGTATGGGGAGGATCCTTGGTAATCTGTGCTGCTGTTGGATCTTCCATCCTCTGCCCTCAACCCTCTCCACACCCCCTTGGTAACACACTAGGCATGCCCCACAGGAATAGAGTGGGGCATCAGAGGGCAGATCTCCTGACACTAGCATTGGAAGCTGCTCCTTTCAAACACTCAAATCATGAACATGGCTGCCTCTGGATGATGATCAAAGAGAAGCTCTGCTTTTCTACAGTAAGGGTGGTTTAGAGTTCTGGGACTACATCGCTCATCAGGTCTAGCACAGCCAATGATGAAGGGTGATGGGAGTTGTAGTCTAGCAACACCTGGAGGGCAACACATGACTGGCAGATAGAACATCCAGCCCAGGAGCAAAGAATTAATACCACCCACTCACGGGAAAGATTTGATTAACCCCTATGGCAGAGTTACTGCAAAGCAGAATGTTAAAGATAATTCCGTATTCTAGGTGAACAATTCAGACCTGCAGTGATATTTTCCAGAGGGGTAACATTGTTGGCATGTTGTGAAACAATAATTTTATTTATTTTAAATATTTTTAGTCCACTTTTCTCCTCAAAAAGGACCCAAGGCAGCTTACAACAAATAAAAAACAGTATTTAAGCTAACAACAGTGAGTATACAATACTAAAAGGATCAAATGAATACAGTAGTAAAAAACATAAGCAACACCAAACCACATTCAATATGGAAAGGTACAACAATTCATTTAAAAACCTTGCTCTGCAGCCAGTCACTCAGCGAATGTCTGCCTGAAGAGAAAGCAAAGGACAGGAAAGAAGGGGCTAGCCTAGCTTGGTGCAGGGGCAGAGGGAGAATCCTTAAGGCACCACAGGACTTTGCTTTGTTTGATCACCCTTGGCAAGTATCCCATGATCGTACCATTCTCTAACCTAACAGAATCTTGCACCATGTATAAAGTCACTTACTACCTAATGTAGCATCTACAACCTCACAGAGGAAGGCTTGAAGGCAGTAACAGGACAGCTGCTGGTGGGACAGAGCAGATTGTCTCCACTATCACCTCATTACCTCTGGAACACCCTTTTGAAGGAGTGACCCAGGGTGGTGTAATATTCAAACTGGAAACTTATAATAAAATGAATGACATGAAAATGTGCCTGATACTTGAGTAAATGTGATGACACTGCATGGCACCATCTCCTATCACTGGGTATCAGGACCCCACCCTGTGTGTTAACAGCTTAAAATACCCATGGTTTATCTGGGCTCTCCTCTCCCCTTAAATGCTAGCAGAGGCTCTCGGCGCCCTTCTGCTGCAACCAGGTGTGCCTTTTCCCCTTTGATTGACACAAGAGCTGTGGGAGATATAAAAGGTCATGGATAGCACAAGGCTGGCTAGTCCTCCTTCCTGCCTCAGTAAGTGGGTGCTCAAGGTTTGGTGAGTATCTATATTTTTAGGCTAGTCCTTGATGTTTTTCAGATCATGAAGAAGTTTATTTTCCTTCTCTAGTGTGCATCTTTGGTTGGTGTGTCCTTTTCACTTCGTTACTCATAGTTTTTTTGGTCTCTTCATCACTCCATGTACTGTTTAGGTGTATTCTGTTTCAAGGAGATTTGTAATAAGGTTTGCATGAGTATCTTTGCTGAAATAAGAGAGTTCAGCAGATGTGCTTCTTAGCAGCACCCTGAGCTTTAATAGACTGTCCTGAAAATTCCAAACATCTGTGCTCATGAATGTGGGGTACAAACTACCAGGGGCCAGTGTCTTCTCCCTCATGGTTCTACAAGATTCAAATCTTCTTCCCTTGAGCAGATAATTGCTCAAAATCCTCCCCACCTCTGTGTGGGTATCTGAGGCTGCCCCAACTCCTAGCAAACTTCTGAGCTAGATTTGCTGCACCTTCCCTCTTCTGGCCAGGAATCTTCCTTCTGTTTGGATGCATAATCTATTACTGTTGCCCTCTTTTGAGGGTGAATTAGATTTAATGTGAATTGCCTAGATACCACTATGGCAGTGGTTGACAACCTTGGGTTCTCAGATATTTCTTGGACTACAACTTCCAGAAAGCCTGAGAAGCTAGTGGTGCAGGTTTCTGGGAGTTTCAGTTCAAGAATGTCTAGGGATTTCTATGGCTGGAAATCACTGAGCTGTGGTAAACATTACATTCTGGCAAATGGGTGTGTCTACACATCCAACTCTAAGAGGTTACCTTTCTTAAGTACCCTTTTTCCTAGGTTCCTCATATTTTGAAGGCTACCTTTTAATGACTCCTACAGCCTAGATGTCCAAGCTACAATGCTTGTGAAGGATATATTTGCCTTTACAGAACCTCTTCATCCTTCAATGATGTTGCAAAGTGGTCTGGTCCAGGAATGAAGCTAAGTCTCAGCCCAGGTGCAACCCAATTAATTCTGGTGGCAACCAAATCAACTCCAGCATCTTATTCAGTATATTAACTGGAACCCAAGCTTAGAGAAGCATGCAGAAATATATACCTGATTTTAAAAGGAAAAAACATATAAACAAATCAGCTAACTAAACTTACAAGGATGCTAGGAATAAATTGCTAATATAATTTTGGTGGGTATGTTTATTCTCAGGCATTGCTATATTGAGAAATAGAAAGAAAATATCTCTTTGAACCAAAACATCACCTCGGGGAGATGAAGAAGGAAGGAGTCTGAGCTGCTGCCCCAGAAAAAAAAATTCAAGCCAACAAATTCATTAGCTTTGAAAGTCATAGATGATTGCATGAGAAACAGGACAGGGTTCCTGTACCTTTTAAAAACTATATGGAAGAGGGAATGTCAGCAGCAGGTGTAGCAAGTCATGCAAACTTACACCCCTTATCGTTCCTTCATCCACACAATTATTAAAGACACTGGAGCCCTCTCGTTCCTTCATGCAATCTCTCTGCATGAGATATCCATAGGATTACTGTAATATGGGGGCAAAGACTTGTGTGATGAACATGATGGGAGGGAAATGTCACTATGTAGTCCCATCTCCCTTCTTATACATTTCTGCCACTCTCCTCATGCAAAGGTCAACTTCTGAGGAGAAGAGCTTTTTCTCTGTAAGGAGGCTCTTCACATGATGTAGAACACTGTTCTCATAGTGTTCGGGATCATGTGAAGAGTCTCCATGAAAACAGGAGGCCTTTCTCACTCTGTTGATTGTGTAGTATGCTGGTAACATGTTCCCCACTTCCTATGTTTAGTCTGTTCAACTATTTTGCCACGTGCATAGGACACACTGATCTCATAGTGTTTGGGATCATGTGAAGAGTCTCCATGAAAAGAGGAGGCCTTTCTCCTTACTCTGTTGATTGTATAGTACGCTGGTAACGTGTTCCCCACTTCCTATGTTTAGTATGTTCAACTATTTTGCCACGTGCATAGGACTGTTTGGAAAGCGTAGCCATAACAAATGAAGGTGCATGTCTGGCATTTTGCAAAGGGGGACTGGGAAAGGTAAGGTTTGTTACATCCTGTATAGAAATGGAAGCCTGGGAACTGTGGGGACCATTGTTTCACTTCTTTCATTCTAGACACTCTGTATAGCACACATAGGGAGAACAGGCATATAACAGCAAAAATATGTCTGCAGGAAAACAGCTGTAACCCTATACTGTTCATCCAATTTATGTATTATTCTTCCAAACCGACCCTAAGAGAGAACTAGTGGGTCCATCTCAGCATCTCTTTGAGAATGTCCAGGTTCACATTTAGAACGCATCAGAAGAACAGTCTTCTTAGGAAAGGTACAGTTAATTAAACGACTGTGGTCTATAGAACCATACAGGGGTGGGTAGTATATAGGCATCAGTTCCTTCTGATCTGTTAAAGGCTAGGCTGAACCTGGAATGTTTTTTAAAAAAACATGTAAAGCAGGTGCTTTAATCACAGAACTCTGGCTCATGAGCAACACACCCTCAGTGAACCATCTCCAACGATGGGGCATGCCAATGTCTCTGTTTTCGTGCTGCTCCTGTCTCCTCATAGACCCCATGCAAAATGTGATACTGAGAGCAATGAGGCCTTCTTTTGGAATCCCAGTTTTACAAACCTTGAGTTGGCTTGGCCTGCCAATCTTGTCGGGTTTCCAACCTTGCTCTCTCACTCTGCTCTGCTTTAAGTCTTTGTATGAGGTAAGGGATGAACTTGCTTGATGCTGCTCTTCTTCTCCACCTTGCAGGTGGCTGGCTGAGAGACCCATAGAAGCTTTTAGAATGGTAAGTGCACAGTGGTTTCTTTCTGAGGGAACACATTGGTGGAGGCAACTCAGGCACTGCTTGTAACTATGTGGCCAAATGGCCCTTTTTTGTTTAACTTGGGAAGCAGCCTCGGAAAGAGTGACTGCAGACGGATGTTTCTGTGGTGAGAGGAAGAGTGCTCAGCCTTTGGTGCTTCCCCACATTGCATGATCCTCTCAGTCTTTTGAAATGTGAGCTTATTTGGAGTAGGGAAATAGTAAGGGTCTGTATAGATGGGGAACCTCATCAGCGTTTATCTGTCCTCGGTGTTCCTTTAAATTTAGTGTTTAACTTGGGAAGCAGCCTCAGAAAGAGTGACTGCAGATGGATGTTTCTGCGGTGAGAGGAAGAGTGCTCAATCTTTGCTTCTTCCCCATATTGCACGATCCTCTCAGTCTTTTGAAATGTGAACTTATTTGGAGTAGGGGAATAGTAAGTGTCTGTATAGGAGGGGAAGCTCATCCAGCGTGTATCTGTCCTCGGTGTTCCTTTAAATTTAGGAACAGGTTGGTGGACTGTAGTATACATTTTCTTGTGTGTAACATGTAGTTTGGCCCTGAGTGTTCAAAGCTTTTGGGTACAGTTATGCCAGTAGGCTGGCTTTGGGTCAAGAAGAAAATACCTTGGACTGTGGGCTGGCTCACCATGAACCTGATGACCTAGTTTGTCCCTGAGTGTTCGAGGCTTTTGGGTACAGTTATGGCTTTGGGTCAAGAAGAGAATACCTTGGACTGTGGGCTGGCTCACCATGAACCTGATGACCTACCCTTCGTCACAATTATGCTTTGTTTCCTCTTGTCCCAGCCACAATCTCCTGCTGTACGCACAGTTACAGTAATTAATATCTGTGTTCAGAAGGTTGTGAAGCTTTTGACTCCAGCAGGGAGAAAGGGGTAGCAATGTTAAGTTGGCAAAACAACAACAACAAAGTGTTGTGGCGCTTTAATGACTGGCCATTTCTGTTTGATAAATGCTTAGCTCATCTCTTCTCTCATTTCAGTTCATCTCCCCCAAATTTTACAGAGGGCTGGGCCAGCTTGAAGCCTACATTGGTGTGGAGGAAGGAGTGGCCTTCAAAATGGACAACCACCAATTCTGGGACACAATGACTGCTGGCTATCAATGGACCATAATGGGTGTATCTGTAAAGAGAGACTCAAGCAAGTTTTGGGTAGTCCCTTTACCTTCAAGAAAAGTGATGCTGAGAAACAGGCGTGGTATGAACCTGGCTCCAGTGGAGATAAGAACAGACCCCAGAACCTTTCCTGTTGTACCAGTCCCATATTCAGAAGATCCGAATCTAAAGTTTAGGGTCTACTACAAAGGTAATAAGGTGGCTTTCCAGGCCCATAATGGTCTTTTCCTGGGCCGAGTATGTAAAGATTTTTGTAGACGGATCAATGCATTGGAAGCATCCATGTTCTTCCCAGATGACACCTGTTTTTTCCAGCCCGTGATTGGGGACGTCCTTCTTCCTACCTTTAAAATACTGAATGTGATTCCAAGGGGAATTTCTCAGTTGGACTACTCCTCCCATCTCATTGAGACACGTGTTTTTATCAACAGGGGAGAGGAACCCGTAGAACACACTTTCAACATGACTTATAGTGCCCGTAGTATTGACAAAGTTTTCTGGAACAATTTGTGGGGGCTTGGTTTGCCTTCATTATGTGCTTTCAAAGTTGACAGTGCAAGTCCATCTGTGATGTACAATGTGAACAATGACCACATTGTCCCTCTTGTGAGGACAATTTCTGAAGAGGTCCCAGAACAAGTGATGGTACCCCCAAAATCTGAAGTCAAAGCCTGCCTTTATGCTGACAGGCAACGTTATGCTGCTCTGCCTTTCATAGCCACCATCCAAAAAGTGAAACCTGATGGCACCATAGAGATTTTCAGGGAAGCTGGGGCCTGGAAGGGGCTTGCCTATCGTAACCTCAGAGTGGAGCACAGTGTTGTAAAGCTTTGAGCTGTAGATGGCTATGTGATGCTCATGGAACTAATGGCCTTGTAAGGGGGACTGTGTGCCAGATCATAAACAGCCTACCCCCGAGGTTGTGGGGGTTTCTCCATAATCTCTGTCTGTTCCTTGTAGGACTGTAATGCTTCGGAGACCAGTTTCTTCCTGACCAGGGCAGGTGAAGGCTTTGCCCTGGGGCATCGTAGCAGTTCTTTTAAAAAAAATTACAGGTGCCTGAAAAAAAGACAATGATGGCTACCTTTTTATAGCAAGAGGGCGAGAAGCCTCACCTTGCAGCACTGTGTAGAGAACATAAATAAAATTGTAATGCCTTGTTTTTTAAAAAAAACACTTGACTTTGTTTGTGTCTGGACTCTGAAGATATGTGAACAGCTGGGTCACTGTTTTAGGTTTAGAGGAAGAAATTGTGGGGTGAGTGAGGGTGGCTTGACTTTTAACTGTCATTCTGACTAAATATCTTTTACTCTCTATATTCCATGTCAATATTATGAGCACCAATAGTTACTCTTCTTGTGCTCTTATCCATTCTTAAGCCTGCTTCAGAAAAACTGAGGAGGAGGGGGGAAATGGACAAAATACTGTAACACTTTAAAGTCTAGCAAATCTGTTTCAGTGTGAGTGTGCATGGATCAAAACCTCCTTCAAACAGTGTGATTTTAATCCATGAAAGCCCACATTAAGACGAACTTGTTCATCTTTAAAGTACCACAGTATTTTGTCCTCTGCTCCCCCCTCCCACTTCTTTCCCCCCTTTA